TTTAAGTTTATACCCTGAAACTTTACAGTGTATATGTGCCCATATCAATGTTAATTTTGAATACCACCACCAAATATATCTTTGACTGATCCATTTCAATAAATTTTCTATTTTTAAAAAAAGAAAGAAAAATAAACATTTAAAAAGCATTTTCAATGGGAGTCTGACTCTGTAAACTCGATTTTTGTTATTTTCATGAATGAAGAAAAACTATTTTACATATTGAACCTGGAATGTGCCTTTAACACAGTATCGGGAGACAGTTGTGTCTTCAGTTCGACCTTGTCTAGGTCATGAAGAAATAGTGCCAGGGCAAGAAAAACAGGACGGAAGTAGACCAAAGGAGTTTCCAATGAAGAGCGCCGTGACTCAACCGCTGCGTTCCTGTCCTAGATCACACTCAGCTCTGACTGAAGAAACACACTGACAACAACGTGCTTCTGCGCAGCTGGCGTACGTCACGTTCTCCACAGATGCGCTCGGATGATAAACAACACTGTTCTTCACTCAAACTTTTTAAATACATGGATTTTCCCTTTGATTCAGCCACTCCAAGAGAAACTCCCAATCTTCTCCAGTCAGAATCCAGATCTTCCTGATTCTTCCAAACAACAAGACTTGTGAACTCAACAATGTGGGACAGCCGGGAATTTCATGAAATCGCAGATTAGTAATTCCACTGGTGCTCCAATAAAACACACCTCTAACAAAAAACAAAAAAAGTCCACTGAACAATACTGCATTGGTAACCTGTATATCCCGTTCTCGAATTTGATTGGGCGGGAGGCATGATATTTAGTACAGTGAGTAACAGTTGGGATCCGAAAACCCCCCCAAAAAAATTCATATGGTCTATATGTTAATAGACTTTTATCAATAACTTATCCACCGTTTTTTTGATGTAAAAGGCAATTTGTAAATTGAATGTGCGAGGCTTCCAGTTATTTTTAGCTGTACAAAACAGAGTTTCCCAAAAGCATTGCAGGTCTAAGTTAACCGTAGAGACCATTGGTGGGAATTGTTCTATGATCAACTTTGACTTACAATGCTTTCGGGAAATAATGCTTCTTAATGGTATTTCTTACCACATTATTTTTAACGTTTTGTCGTAATTATAAACACACTTGTTTGTAGTGCAAATGATTTTATTGTTAACTGCATTTTGTTATTCCTCTAGTTATTTACCTATAGCGGCTAATGAATCGGAAATTCACAGAACATTCTGTCAATCCATGGTATATGCTTCTGTTGAAGATATCAGAAGGATATTAAGGTATACCTTTTTGTTAACACTTTACAATAAGGTTCATTTTTTAACATTAGTTAACTACATTAGTTAAAGGAGAACTCCGGTCAATTTTAACATTGAGCTCATTTTTTTGTACATTTGGAGTGCTGTCAGTACAGACAAAAACGACAAAAATCGGGAAATTGTCGAGTTCGCGTGCGCGATCATTGGTAACTAATATAACCAATGATCGCGAGCGCGAACTCGACAATCGACTACTGTGGACTTCGAACGAAAACAGGAAGTAAATACGGGTATGTGAGCTGGCTGAATTAACATCATTTTTATTAATATCTTTCACATCTACTGCAGTCAGATTGACCGTGGTCACTCTTAAAGGAACACTCTGACTTTTTGAAACTTTAGCTTATTCACCTTATCCCCCAGAGTTAGATAAGTCCATACATACCTTTTTCATCTCCGTGCGTGCTGTAACTCTATCTGACGCACCCACCGCTAGCCTAGCTTAGCACAAAGACTGGATGTAAATGGTTGCAGCTAGCATACTAATCCAAATAAGTGACAAAATAGCGCAAACATTTTCCTATTTACATGTTGTGATTCGTATAGTCACAGAGTGTACAAAAAACGAAGTAACATGAGACACAGACATATTTTAACCGTATAAATACTGGGAACTATATTCTCTGAAGGCGAAGCACTGCTACTTGGGCGGAGTGATAACCGCAGCACCTGAGACGCGCTCTCTGCTCCTCACCACGGCTCGTCTCAGGTGCTGCGGTTATCACTCCGCCCAAGTAGCAGTGCTTCGCCTTCAGAAAATATATAGTCGCCTTCAGAGAATATAGTTCCCAGTATTTATACGGTTAAAATATGTCTGTGTCTCATGTGACTTTGTTTTTTGTACAGTCTGTGACTATACAAATCACAACATGTAAATAGAAACATGTTTGCGTTATTTTGTCACTTATTTGGATTAGTATGCTAGCTGCAACCATTTACATCCAGTCTTTGTGCTAAGCTAGGCTAGCGGTGGGTGCGTCAAACAGACTTATAGCACGCACGGAGATGAAAAAGGTATGTATGGACTTATCTAACTCTGGGGGATAAGGTGAATAGGCTAAAGTCCCAAAAAGTCGGAGTGTTCCTTTAAGAGCACCACTCGCATGGCTGTGCACTTGTAATGGCACATTCAGGTTGTTAAGAGGCTAAAATCAGGTTTAGAACTTGCCCCATTGAAGTCAACACGGTGCAAACTTTAAAAAGAGGATAACACGGTGTAGGAAACACCGACTTTTGTCGTTTTTGTCTGTACTGACAGCACTCCAAATGTACAAAAAAATGAGCTCAATGTTAAAATTGACCGGAGTTCTCCTTTAACATGAACTAAGAATGAACGATACTTCTACAGCATTTATTAATCTTAGTGAATTTCAACATTTACTAATACATTATTAAAATCAAAGGTTGTATTTGTTAACATTAGTTAATGCACTGTGAACTAACATGAACAAACAATGAACAGCTGTATTTTTATTAACTAACATTGACAAAGACGAACTAATAATACAGTAAAGAATATATTACTCAATGTTAGTTCATGTTAGTTAATACAATAACTAATGAACCTTATTGTAAAGTGTTACCCAATTTTTTAATTAACCGTGTTTAACAACAGTCCCGCACTAAAAAAAAATGTTCTTGTTCGAGAAGCAGTTTCACTCGTACACAGGTGAAACTCGAAAAATTAGAATATGGTGCAAAACTTCATTTATTTCAGTAATTCAACTTAAAAGGTGAAACTAATATATTATATCGACTCATAACATGCAAAGTGAGATATTTCAAGCCTTTATTTGTTGCAATTTTGATGATTATGGCTTACAGCTATGAAAACCTTTTCACAATATCCTAATTTTGAATTTGGGGTTTTCATAAGCGGTGAATCATAATCATCAAAATTATAACAAATAAAGGCTTGAAATATCTCACTTTGCATGTAATGAGTCGATATAATATATTAGTTTCACCTTTTAAGTTGAATAACTGAAATAAATGAATAATATTCTAATTTTTCGAGTTTCACCTGTACGTCACACAATAGAGAAGAAACGACTATTCAGTTTCATGCTGACTTTAAGATGTTCTCGTGACGGGGTTATAAGTAGTGTCTTTCTATTCGGCCCGACACACAGAGAGCTTCCTGTGTGCCCAAAAACACGTGGCAGGAGCAGGAATGACTGGCGTTGAACAGACCTGAACTGCTTGATTTACCAGACTGAAATGTCCTGGGAACACACACAATGGAGCGCTATTTATATCCCGGACAGAGGACACCACTAGGACAGGATCCGCCCACATTATTAGGGACTGTCCAGGAAAAAAGATCTGTCCTCCAGACCTGTGGCTCGAGCAATACTGGCTTTTCCTTCCTGAAACCCCCCAAGCCACATGGCCAACGGTTTTCTCTTATTCATTAGCCCAACACACACGCTGCTGACACAAGCACAATCAATGCATTGCATGCAGAGGTTTCATACCATTTTGAGTCATTTGATGTCTAATGTAAAATCTGGGTCCTGGAGGGAAAACCACTAATCTAGACGCTCATGTAAATGATGTAATATTTAGCACAGGTTTCTAACAGGAGACCTCACAAGCATGCCTGACCCAGATCAGTGGTGAGGACTGAGACGACCACCTAATCCTGGAATTATGAGTCACTCGGAGCCGAGAGTGACATCATGCCGTCCTCATGGTCCGACTCCTTCACTGAAACATTACAATTTTTGGCTACACCTAAATTTCTCTCACGAAGAGTGTACATATATTAGGGATGCTCCGATATGAAAATCTTGGCCGATACACGATAATTATTTATATTTGAATTAAAGCCGATATATTGGCCAATAAATCTAAATCCAGATTTTTATTTTTGAGATTACAAAAACAAAAGTCTCACCATTAAAAGCCATGTCCCAAAGCACACAATTATAATCATTGTAATTTTATGTACACTATATGACTTGCGCTGCACATTTAGATTAAAATATGTTATTAATTCACATTACTTATTTAAAAATTATATTTTCAATTAAAGATTATTTTTATTAGAGTTAATTACAATTACATTTAATTAGTTATAAATACATTTTAATTATTTTTATTGATTTTGTACAATGATAAATAACTATGATTTACATTATTAATTGTGCATTAATTTATATTATTTATTAAGAAAAGTAATTATATTTTACTATATATTACTTTTGTGTTGCCTTTTTATATAACATATCCGACAACTAATAAAACCAGTGTTGGGTGTAATTAATTAATTAATTAATTACGAAGTAATCGAATTACTTTTTCTTAATGATGGTAAAATGCATGTAGCTGCTTTAATGTACATCGTGCAAAGAATACGTATCTCACACATGCATGCATTATATGTTCAATATATATAAATACACTGAACATTCGCCATTTGACACCCGACAGTGACTTCTGCAAAGCAAAGCAAAGCAAAAAAAAAAAAAAAAAAAATCCAATGCAATCGTATTAAGAGTGCAAGCCCGTTCAGGTTCTCGGTTTGCAAAGAGTGTTTTCTGGCTCAACTTGCAGTGCTGCAACATGACTCTCCACAAACAGACCTAGAAAACACACTGTGGATCAAACGCGAGAGGCCCGAGCGGCCAGAACTGGTTATGCAAGAGCTTTACGCACGATATTATTCTCCAGTAGAGATATTTACCATACGGATCCATAAGCTCCAGAACCCACGGGCGATAAACTCTGGTACCGCTCCGGCACCTCCCATATGGTCTTATTGAGCTCCTGTCGATAGAAACTCGGTCTCTCCTTCTGGGACATTCCTGTAGAGGAGTGGAAACTTCTGCTGCTCTCCTGATCTCAGTCCCTTGATACACACACACACACACACACACACAAACTAACTAAACAAAAGCGCGAGCTCCGCGTTCACAGAGCTGTCCTCGTGCATCAGAGGACATCAGTCAACATGCACTGGCGCTGAAGATCGTGCACGAACTCCTTGAGGATCGCTGGGTGGCAGAGCGTGAGATTTCTGGTGCGGACTTCTTGGATTTCTTTCCCTTTTTTTCTGTTACAGGTTCTCCTCTGACGAACACGCTTGACGTCACGACATAAGGGAAACTCTCGGGACTTCTCCGCAAACCTCGCGAGAACGAGAACCTAAGCGACAGCAACTGTTTATATTAGATGAACAATAAAATAATATGAAAAGTTAAAAAATATATAAATCTATATAAAAGTGGAAAGGCTTACCTTATACATCAATCGATCTATTAGGCTTGGAGCCAGTTTATGGAACTTCCCTAGCAATAATATTAATAGGCTACATATAAAATATATGTTTTTTTAATCTTTTTCTTTCCTAGTGGACATTGAAATATATTATGTTTTCAGATACCAGTTTAAAACAGCAGTTAACGATTAAATGCGTTGTTTTGATACTTGTCAAGATTAAAAATTCCAACCGTGTCGTCATTAAAACTAAATATTTATTGGTAATACAAACATTTTGTAAGACAATGTTTCCAATAGTAGGCTAGTCTAATAATAATAGTAAATAATAATATAGTAATAGTAAAGTTGAAGTGCTACTAAAACGGGAGTAGGCCTACGGAGATCATCACAAACGAATCGGTGAGAAAAGTAACAATTACAACATGACGTTGTTTTTGGACCCACATAAAGCCTTTACCGAGGTAAACTTTTACAGTCACTGAAATCAAAGTGATCAGTGAGATAAATATATATTTGTTATTTCAATTATCTTTACGGCACAAAGAGTCTGCGTAAAACATTTGGTGAATACCATTCCCGTCCACACCATAGATTTATTATTAATGTAGGCTAATAGGCCTACTTCATATCCCATTTAAAATACGAAACAACAATTACAACAAATATCACCATTCTCCAACTTTATTTTAATCACTAGGTAAGTGATTGGAGAAACGACCATTTCTTAATATGAAAAAATGCTTCAAAACACTGAACGCTGCGGACATCTGCTGGTCAAAACCGTGTAAGTGCAAACGAAAGCCTCGACACAAGCAGCTGCAAATACAATATTTATTTCAGGATAAGAATGTGTTAATCTTTAAAATCTTTAAATACACAGCTAATAATATAATATTTATGTTTTAATTGTATATATGGCCTATATCTTATGGCATCTATGAAGATTTTTGCAAAGTCAGTTCTTTGGCTATCATTACAGAAATTTGAATTGACCTAATGTAACCCATCAGATTATAGCCTATATAAGGAGTTTGACTTCTGGACCTCTAGAGTTGACATGTCATTAAGAACAAGAAGTAGAGTTATATATCGGGCTACTTTAATTAGCAATCATTCAAACTAAATCATCACAATATCAGACATATCTTTGAGAGTAACTATGGAGGATGAAACCGGCAAAAACAATACATAAATAAATATATATATAAATAAATCCACAAAATTCGACATAGATAAATATATAAATAAACATGCAAATAAAGACATAAATAAATACACATATTCCTGGATAAATAACTAATTAAATGTGAGAGAAGATGAATAATTAAATAAATAAAACTGTTGGGGAAATAAAATAAAAATGCTAAACTGACAGTTATCTTTTTTTCCTTCAAACCGTTTATTAATTTTTGAATGTAGCTCCATATTTATTTTTCCTTGGCGCAACATGCAAATGAGAAGGTTGCACATATCTTTTCAAAATGTATACTTTTGCTCTTAATTTCATGTTATCCTCTCCATAGTGTACTTTACAAACTAAATCTATAACCAATCATTTAAAACAGGGGATTCTTGCTATCTCAAAAAAAAAAATTATTGTATTAAAAGCTGTAATTATCAGCATTGTAAATAAGTATAAGTCATCTTTATTAGGTTGCATATACCCAAAACTATATTTTGTATCTTTATTACATCTAGTTTCTTAAAAATAATCTTAATTAGGCTACTTCTGTTCAATATTTATTTTATTTTTAATCCCCGCTTTTCTTAGCATATTTTACGGAACAACCCTATGGACCTGGGGGCTGTTCCATAAACCAAGATTAGAGTATAAGCCAGGCTTATTTCGGTTAGTCAGGCTTATTTTTGGTAGATTCGGTTTCATAAATCAAACTTAAAAAAGTTCAAACTCAGTTACCCTGGCAACTTATGCTGGGAAACTAGCCTGGTCCAGGGCAGGCTAACTGTCAGGCTAAGCCTCAGTTGTTACACAGATCCTCAACACTGACCGACAAGAACACAATGATATTACCACTGACAGTCTCTAATACCATTATTGGACTTTATAAATACACAGTATACAGAAAATCAACTTAAATAAGGCTACAATATAGACAATATAGACACATATATAAGGCGTTTTAAAGTTTAGGACATGTCATTTTTGTAATAAAGACATTTTAATTAAGGAGTGCCTCGGTTATCAGAGAATTCTTTCTCTACGCTGTCTAGATATAAAATGTATATATATATATAAAATGTACTTTATTATGTCTTTCAATTCAAACACATTTAACAAAATTATACAAATGGACAGTTCCTTTAAAGACATCATATTTTCCCCCAATAAATATTCCTTATTTTTCCTTCTACTTTTTTTTTCTTTTGTGATAATACCAACACACATATATATATATATATATATATATATATATATATATATATATATATATATATATATAAATAAAACAATAAATAAATATTAATAAAAATATAACATTCACATATATCAAACTCTTATAATGAATGACACATAATTCCCAATAGTTATTCAAGTAATATTATTTAAATATCAAATATTCAATATTAAATAAGTAAAGAAATAACAAATAACTAGAAATAAAAGGGAAGGTTACATAAAAATGTAGTTAATGTAGGCCAATATATAGGCTATTCCTTTATTTTATGGAATATTCTTTGATTTTAGAGTTGCACATATCTTTTCAAAATGTATACATTTGTTCTTAATTTAATGTTATCCTCTCCATAATGTACTTTAGAAACTAAATCTAAACCACTAAACTTAAAACTGGGGATTCTTGCTTTCTCAAAAAAATTATTGCATAAAAAGCTGTAATTCTCAGCATTCTCAATAAGTAGGCTATATATATCATCTTTATAAAGTAGCATAGGTCCTATACCCAAAACTATATTTTGTATCTTTATATATTTAGTTTCTTTAAAAAAATCTTCCCTGAATTAGGCTACTTCTGTTCAATTTCTTTTTTTTTATTAGAAGTATAAAATATATGAGTGTAATGAGCTAGAAGTTCACTGCAACTTATCCAACATCCTAAAGAGAAATTATTATAATTAGAAGATATTTCTAGTGTTATAAAGTATCGCATATTAATTTTCCAAGCAAAATGTATATTTTAGTCAGAATTATTGCGCTCCTATTTGGCGCGCATGCGCGCAGCAGCGCTCGTTCAATATGAAGATTAGCAGCAAAATGGATACATTTGCACTACTTTCTAACATTTACAGATGGAGAATATAACTGTAAAATGTCATTTTTGCACTGAGAAAAAAAAAAACATGTCACAAACGCATAAAACAGCACAAAATATACGCTGTTTGGTGGTGGATCGATTTGATCCACGATCGACCTCTAGGGCTGCTTCAGAAACGCGTGCACACGCAATTATCTAGACTAGATAAACCTGGATCAAATTAGTGAGATTGCGTGAACTTCAATTACCTTTTATGGAACCACTTTAGCCCCAACTTATTTGTTAGGCTCATTCAAGTCCGGTTTTGGAGTTTAATCCCCGCTTTTCTAAGCTTCATTTATGGAACAGCCCCCAGGTTAGTTTCCCAGCATAAGTTGCCCGAGTAACTGAGTTTGAACTATATTAAGGTTGCTTTATGAAACAGAATCAACCAACAATAAGTCTGACTTACCAAAATAAGCCTGGCTTGTATTCTAATCTTGTTTTATGGAACAGCCCTCAGTTGTGGTAAACAGAAGCTCAAGCATGTTCCCGTGTGAGAACCAATGAGGTTCATTACGTGTTATGAATGTTTATATGTAAATATAAGCCTAAATTCAATCTGGTCATCATATAAAGCAATTGATTTTCTTCAGAAATGTTGGCTCGCTCAATTCATATGGAGTAGTTTTACAATCTCTCTATGAACTTTTTAAAGCGTCAATGTAGTAGTTGCGTAGCTGTCAATGGAGGGACAAAAAACTCAGATTTCATCAAAAAGATCTTCATTTGTGTTCGAACGGCATGCGGGTGAGAAATTAATGAAAATTTTTATTTTTGGGTGAACTATCCCTTTAAGATGATCAAACTATTGGTATTGGCAGATATCATTCTGAATAATCGGCGATCACCATGTCATAGGCTTTATATGAACAAGAAACACCTCTTCACACATATTAGTATTGTGTTGCATAGGGTTTTATATCAATTATTTATTATGTTCCACATGTTTACAAATATGAACACCCAACAACTATAATTTTGTATAGAGCAGTTTTAGAGGATGACTATGTACATTTACAGGCCGAAAAAGACTTGTTCAATTGTTGACTTTTGTACATGAAGAAATGATGATAGGATTGGATTTAGGACACACAACTGAATGCATAAATACAAAAGAACAACTTGGCATTTACACTTTTGTGCTGCGTAATAGACAAAATTGCAACAACACGAGAAAACAGGGTTTATATACTTAGGCTATATTACAGAAACTTTCAGAATCTTAACATAAAGTTCGATTTTCTATGATAAATGATATGGTCACTAAACAGGAAGGATAAGACTGAAACCCTCATGAATGTTAAAGATTTCAATTGTAGTGCTTTTTATTTTGCCATGGCATGTCCGTTTTAGAAAAAGTCTGTTCTATGTCTATGTTTATTGTGGTTTATCTTTATAGAAGTCCATTTAGCTGTGTATTTATCAAACAGACACATCCTCAGAATGCAATCACATGGTGTGGGTCGTTCCAAAGCGTTTACTTCCTCGCAGAGCTCGACGTCTCGCAAGATGGGACTTTTCTACGAGCTCCTACGTGTCCCATCATGTGACCGCTGTAGATTCATGCAAGAGTTGTTAGTGTTGCCGTTTGCTGACGTGAATGGCTCCGTCTCGAGACTAAGGTAATTACCTTACGACATGGCGTGAACGCAGCATTGCTTTTAGATATATAATAAAATTAAAGTCCCTAGACACATATGTAATATCAAAAAATAATGTTATGTTTTTTTTTGTGCCAGTACATTGCAATTACTATTAAACTAAATGACTTTTATGCTTCCTGTTCAATTTGCCCACTTTAACGTGAAACACTGAAAACTGTTTTAGGTCATTTTATCATGCTGCAAACAATAGGTCTTTATAAACATTTGGGATAACTTAAGTAAAGCCAGTTATGACAATAAAAACCTAAAATAGTTTTTAAAAAACTTATATTCAAAAATTGTACAAGATAACATTGTTTTGTTTCTACCTTCTTTACTGTAACCCCGTAAGCCCAAGCACAACATGTGCATGTTTGAGAGAACAGCACAAAAAGATGTGAAGTTTGAATCCCTAAGTAGGTGCTTCATTTCCATTTCCTAATAACCGCTTCCCCCAAAATCCAATCTTTAAGTTAAACATTTACAAAAATGGAAAGCAGGTCCTGAACCAGTGTTAAGCTGCAGGTGGAGTCGGGTCTCTGTGCGTCGAGTGGGCGACATCTGCCAGCACTTTCCATAGTCCAGTGTCCAAGAGTCAGATTTATCCAGGTCATTTCAGAAAAATCAGGTAAAAACCCATGAACAAACAGGACGCCGCCACAGCAACGTGAAGCCGTGAGCCGATCACTGCAGCTACAGAGAAAACAGGAAGAAATATCACTGAGTATCACTGCAGGAGAACTGTCTTCAGCCGCAGGTCCTACACTAGCCGGGTTAAAACCAGAGCATTCTCAGTTGTAACTGAGTTATGGTCTGGCGAAGCGTCATAGACAAATCATTTCCAGAGGGGCGTCACCAACGGACGTCGCGGATAGACCTAAACCCAATCAGAGCGATGAAGGAGATGACGTATGCAGAGCGGCGGAGAAACATCTCCGAGTGTTGTTCTTTGCTCGGTTTTTAACTAAAAGGAAACGTTCAAATGGCTTAAAACAGACGCGATAGCTGATTGGAACGAGTGATGTTCGACGGCGGCATCCATCTCTGTAATGTAGGCTACAAAATCTGCTTCAAAATCCCAGCGCTGTCGTCATCGTGTAAAGCCCGCCCCAACGCTTCTGATTGGTGCCTCGATTTCGGCGGATTGGAAATGGGCTTGAATGAGCTCTTTGCCAGACTAACTTTCAGAGCAAATCTAAATTTGACGGAAGGTTTTCCCAGGCTAGTCCTACACATCACTTACCTTTGTAAAATACTCCCCAGACACCTTTCTTCTCAGACAAGAGCCAGCTGTTGAGACGAGGGACCTTCTTCAGGTACGCACACGTGCAAATGAAGAGAAGTCCGAATACAAGAATGCCGTCGAAAGAGTACACTGTGAAAACAAAGAACACAGCTAACCCTCTCTCACAAATATTTGTTTTTAATGGACTTTTACATTAGCTAGACCTTGTTACGAGAAGCAAATATAAAACATTATTTGAGAAACTAACAGAATAGGCTCCTGGGTCATTACATACATATTTTTTACATTAAAGAAAAAAAAATTAAAAGTAAACTATTAGTGATTAATAAATTAAATGTTGATTATTTTTATTTTTTATATTTATAATAGGCTGCATTAACTGCTATTCCACTATCATAAAAAATCTAATCTACTAACAAATGTTCAAACACATTCCCATTTTTCAAAGTAAGAAAATAAAAAATTCTTAAGGCAGTTATCCAAAATGTAAACGAGAATACTCAGCATTGCGTTTAATGCAGCATTTTGTATTTATACTTGCAAAGTGAGTTTCAACCGAACAAATTATTAGTATGAGGGCTGATATTTTAACAGCAGAATGTGTACGTGAACATTTGACAGCTATTGAGATGTAAATGTAATGACATGATGTTCACACAGAGAACATTACGCCTGTATCACTACAGCTGTTAAAGTTGAGCTCAGCTTGCTAGCTACCGACAGTCTATTACCACGACACTTAGTTCCGTTCAGCGATCATATTTAAATGCATTCTGATTTAGACGGCATTAAGATATCTTGCTCGTGACTTCATAAAAGCTTGCAGTAACGTTAAATGTTAAACCAGCAGCGGCCCTATAAGAGCCACGTCCCCACACACACACACACACACACACACACAGCTCAGCTGACTGACAACATTCATCGCTCTCTCACGTATAAAAGAGCACCAGGCAGTTCACCTCATAACACAAGTTTATTAACATACCGTTTGTCATTTTTGCAGCTTTTAAATCCCGTGTTGAGATGAAGCGCAAGTTGCCAAAGCTTTTTTATTTACTGTCTTCATCAGTTCCGCATCGACAGCACAGGCTTCCCGAACGTTTCCGGTACGACGGAATTATGGGAAATCGCCATACAGATTAAAAGCTTCTATCTCTCTCTCTCTTTTTTTTTGGTCATTACACTGGTGTAATAATAATATAATATATATAATGTTAAAACAAAATATATTTTATATGTATTATTATATTTTATGTATAATGTTATACATAACATTAAAAAACATTACATTAAAAAAAGAAAAAAAATATACATACACACACACACACACACATATATATTAACATAATAATAATGACAATATTTTATAATGTTCTGTAATTTTATAGTATACTTTAATATTATTATTATTATTATTATTAACATTATGAATATACATCATTTAAAAAAAATTAAAAGTACTCTGGGTTTGGCCGAATTCCGAGCTCGGAGCCCTCCCCCCGGACAGCACGCCAAATATGCATTATACTTTATTCCCTTTAATTGTATGTAAGTGTGAACTCGTGAAATTACAGTTTAGAATATATTCAACAGGTATATATATTATATTTAACTGTTTTTACAAATGTAAAGTATTTTACAGTGTTTAAATACATTTGTTTTTAAAGCATCACAGGCTATTGAACCAACAACAGAAGAACAAAATGCTTACACAAGGAACTGCTTGTTCTATCAGAAACAATCATTATCATGAATATTGTTAATTTTTTTTTTTTTTCTCTCACCTTTATTCCATATTCAACCCTTCACTCTTTGGCTTTCAAAGTGCACAAACCTTTTTTTATAACCATTCATATTTTTACTGGTCAATTTTTTAATTGCATTTATAATAGAATTAAGACATTTTAAAATAAAATACTGTATTCTGTTGACAAGTTTAAAACTTTAAATTTTACATTGTACTTTATTTACTTTGTTAGCACACATTACTAGTCTTGAGGTGAAAAATTACAATGATAATCTAATTGATTATCTTAAGTCAAAGTCTGAAAATTTGCTTCCGCTCTTAAATGGCGTCCGTTCTTTGACAATGGCTGCGTCCGAAATCGCAGACTTTCTTGGTACTTATTTTGAACTTTGAAGTATTTACTTCACAACAAAAGTATTTTCTATATGTAATCTGGACGTACTACATCCGCCATGTTGTCATTATCATGTCGCCTACCAGCATCGGTTGCGTCGCTTCACTGCCATTCACAATCCTCTTTTTGTGTGTTCCAAGTTTAACAAACTTGATTCTGATGCGAAATACATGAAATTACAGATTCTGATAGAGATGACTTCATTGCGTCAGGGGAATTGCTCCATACAAAGGTGATGCGACTGCATCCTAATGCTTGGATATGAGGCTGCATAACATTTATTTTTTTATAAAAAACTTCATACAAGGCGATAGATGTGGTTTAAAAACAGAACCAACAAATGTTTAATAAAATTTGAGGTACATTATTTACAACTCAGTCACATCACATAAAATACTAATAATACTGCCAAACCTGGCAGACAAGTCCTCAAGACAGCTTTACCATCATATGGCAAATTTGTGAGCAAATCTCCAAGAAAACCATCTCAGGTTCTTTATCACAAATGGACAAAATACTTTAGGTTAATTTATCTTCAAGTTTCTTTCCTGTTAGTAAGCTGTTTGTCTGGTTCACATTTCTTATGTCGATTTATTACAACATATACACTCTAAACTTTTCAGGATTACAAATGGGAAATTGTATCAGTGGACATCAAAGGTGTATGGAGAGAATACAGCAGAAACATTGATCACTTCCCAGGCTCTCTGCACACACTGACTCCAGAAGACCATCCCATTTACTGCTTAAACTTCCAGAAGAACAGCTTTCTGTACCCTCACCCATACTTCTCATTTCAAAAGCCTTTTTTAAAAGGTTAAGTAACCTGTTTCAGGTCGACATTGATAATAAATAAATAAATAAATAAACAGCAAGTGGGAAAAAAAAAACGCACAAGATCACGGGTGTCAGAGTCAGGGGATGCCATCCTTCCGCTGGCAACACTGGGAAGGTGGGACGCTCCAGTCGTAAACATAGGACAGCCTCAGTTTGACCTCCTCTTTGCACAGGTGCCCATCTCGCTGTAGTGTCTGATGCTTCTCCAACATGTCCTCTAAGCTCTGCTTGTGTGTGACCAGGTACTTATTGCTGCATCCGCGCGACTTGTACTCCGTGTCGAAGCGTGGATCGTGAAGCCGCTTCACGTCCACGGGGGCCAACCACGCACCCAAGGATACGTCCTCACTCTGCCAGATCTTTAGAAACCCCGCATTGAGATGGACGTAGTGCACGAGGTCGGCGGAGAGCACGTAGCCCCCACCCAGAGCATACGGTAAGTAGTAGTCGCACAGATCCCAAGTACTTTCTTTCCATTTCCCGGCCGTTTTCACTCGCCCGCGTCCAGAGAAGAAGCCCCAGTAGAGGCGACTGGGCTCCTTGGTCTTCAGCTCCTCTTTGAGGAGATCCAAGCGGGCAAAGGTGTCATCGTCGGCCTTCAGGACAAACTTAAAGTCCACGTTTTGGTCCAACCACGAGTACATGTGCAGCAGTTTCTGCGTGAGGTTCTCGTACGAATCTCTGAGGTCAGGGAGCAAGAGGAGGTCATGGTGACGGACCTGCTCGGTCCCGATGTTCTGGAGGTCTTCGGCAGGTAGACCCTCTGTGCCGACGACAAACCAGTACAGCACTTCGGGATCCTGCTTGGTCAGCCAGGTGCTCCGGAGAATACTGCGGCGCTCGGTGTACTTTGGCCCCGTGGTGATGAGGACGACCAGGAACGCCGAGAGCTCTCTGGCACGGGGAGGCCCTGCCGGCTGCTTCTGACGGGACTCGGCCCGCGGCGCCACCCCTGGGGACTCAGCCGGCTTCAGCGTCTCAGACGTACATTTGGCGAGGAACAAAAGGACGACGGCGAATAGGAAGAGGACACAGAGTGCCAGGGCTGTCTTATGACGACACACAAGACGGACCAAATTCATGATGTCACTGAGGAACAGAAGGAAATCGTATCACTTTTGAAAACGACACGGTAAAAAAAAAAGAGTTTTCCTGTTAAAAATACGGTAGCAACATTTTAGGTTCTACAGACTTTTAACCGTATATAATTTTACAGCAATAAACCGTATTTCATTATCTGTTATAATCTTAATTTACTGACCTTTTGAAGTATTAATATCTGTTTTGTTCCATTGTAATACACTGACAGCCAACAATCACAGCAGTGATGAGAGTCACATGATCAACCAAAGCTCATCATAAGCAGCTCTTCCACAGAAGAGTTAAATATAGAAGCTGCAGAGTGTCATTGGCACTAACATTAAACACCATCATGGTAACATGTTGAAATTTAAAAAATGCAATAAGCATTAATTTAACAACATTAAATGTAACATAAAACCCTAATGTAGAGAACTGATTAGAAAAAAACTAAGAAAATTATGAAGAAACAGTTATTTAAAAAAAAAAAAAACATTAAATGTGAAGTGCCACGTGGGGAATTGTGGGAATGTCAATTTACATTTTTTAAAATTTGTAAAATTACATTAAATGTACCATTATATATATCACAGTTATTTGCCGTATATAGTAAGGAAACTTTCTGTTAACCAATTAACAGTTTTTCACTGTAGCATTTTTACAGTCTTTTACCGTTAAAATCATCACAATCATTTTTTACAGTGAAGCCTTACCTAAAATGTGTGCAACATTAAGGCCTGTTCACAGCAAGATGAATGTTCAGCGCGATAAACATTTTCACTTGAATAAAGGGTTGTTAATGCAACTGTTCAGACTTTCATGAGCCGTCAGATTGAGTGGCATTCTAATCTCTTTTCCATTACGCTGCGAATAAAACTGGCCAATTGATAAGCTTTTGTGCATTTGGTCATGTACCTGAAGACTGGAGCTGCACGATTCTGGAAAAATTGAGAATTTTTTATTAAATCTCTACATTTTCATTTAGAGATCACGATTCCGAATAGACGACTTAACGAAATGACATGTCATTAACTAGAAGTACTGATGAAATGTTAATTGCTGCAATCTATTTAATAAAATCTATTAAAAAAATTGGAATACATTTAGTTTAATTGGTCTGAATGAATGATTCAATGACTAGCTCATTAAGACTATACTTGTTTCATTACTGGATAAATCCACATTGAACGAACATTTTGAATGAATGATTCCATGACAAATAAACAGTCACAATCCTGCCCTGATGATGAGTCACTTTAAAGATTTTACATATCAGTTGTTCTTTGGTCAATAAGAATATGTTCAGACTGTCAGTGCAAATCCCATTTTTGTGCATATCCGGTTGAAATCCGATCAGATTTTGCAAGCGTGAACGACTAAATAATAAAAAATTCGCAGGAATTGCGATTTTTACAAATCCGTACAAAAAATGTACTGTTGATTAAAATGCTAAAATTTGATATTACATTGAGGGTGTAAATGAATAGGCTTGGACTTGGTGCTGGTAACCCAATGTACCGGACAATGGTAACACAGGGATAAAAAAATCAGATTCTGAAGCTGAAAATACAGAATTATTTTAGACGAATATGCTTGCATCCCGTCACTGACTAGATGCATTTAAAATAATGTAGGCCACTTTTCACTGGTAACAAGACATTTGGCATTATCAGGACCCACAAATATTCCCCCATTGCATTATTATACATTATATATAGTAGTTTAATGTAGTACTGACACCAAAACTCTGCAAACTTTTTATTTTGGGTGAACGATACACAATATATATGGTCACTATCCACAATACATATTGTTGCATTTCTGTATTCCGATATATTGTGACACGACATATAGTTACACCCCCAGTCAGATCCGAACAGTTGCGATACACAATGTGGACATCAATAATTTTAGATCAGATTCCTATTGGATACACGAATAATCAGATCTGAAATTTCCTACTTCCACTTCTGAAGTCGTGATTATGAGTTTATGACCAGTTTTTTAATTTGGAAACCAGTATTTACGATAATTCCGATAGCAAGTGAAGACAGCATAATACTCATAAGTATTAACCCATAGTAGTAACCACTGTATTTCCGCTTTTCAATAAGCGCCACCGACAGTCAGAAGGTAAATCTGAATGTTCATTCAGCCTGTCTACCGTATTCACGTCTAAACAGACAAATCACATTTCGAAAATCATACGATTTCCATGCTGAACATTCGTGTTGGTGTGAACAGGGCAGGCACATGATAATAACATTTTAAAACTTTTGTTGTTGTTGTTTACATTTTTGTACATCTTTTTACTTTAGTTCACTGGTTAATTTAAGTTGGCCTTGATTTTTAAAAGTACAATTATTTCATGCAGTCATGCTAAACTGTAACGTTATATTTTTAAAAATGCCCTCAACTAACAAGGCCATTACAACTGCATGGATGGATAATAATCATAAAATAAACATTACCGTTTTGAATTAAGTATAGCATGTCAACTGCATTAACAATAATGAAAAAGAATAACTTTAAAAAAATTAATGTTATTTTGTGGAAACAGATTAGAAAGCCAAATCAACCTCATAGATACCACAGTCCACAGAGCCACTTAAGACTGATCACCCATCAATGCAAATTACCTTGTAGATTTCCGCCAAAGTGATCATTTACTGTGTTTATGGCTCCTACTGTGCATCTTTATGAGAGGCTGTTTTGTTTTGCAGTAGCAGCTGGTGTGATGGAGATGTCACATCTGTCCTTCTTCTGCCCCTCCAAACAACACGTACAATATCTACGCACAGACCTACCGCAACGACTAAACAGGTCAGACTAAAGTGGAAAGTGTGGAAGAGTCATTATTTCTTCATCCCAGCAGTTAGCTCAAAATACACACAACACACGTCACACACACACACACACACACACACACACACACACACACACACTGCACTTCCCGTTCACAAGCAGCACCGTGAAATGCTCAGACATCTTGTCGACCTGCGCCGCCTACCGGAAGGGATGATTACGTTTACATCGTTTCATGTCCGCAACATCTTTCTTAACGTTTTAAAAAATAATAAACTCTCAATTTTTAAAGATGTAAATCATAAGTTGGTTTAATTTATCACATAACAATCATATACAAATATCTGTGAATTTTAAATTATTTCACTAATTTCATTAAAAAAATGATTTCATATTTCCATATATAAAATAAAACATTAAATTATAGTTGTAATGCTTTATTTGTTGTTTTACACAATAATGAGTTTAAATAATCATTTAGGGGGTGATTCTCAGCCAAATTGGATGTGTGATTTATTTGCGTTTAATTAGATTAATTAATCGCCAAATCATGTAATTAATTAGATTACAAAAATGACGCGCTTGACAGTCCAAGTTGTAATACATTTACAGATGCCAAGAATTCACATTTCAACAAGTGAGAATTGAGTTCTTGATATCAGGAATTTAGATTTTTAATAACAAAGTAAAATATATGAATATATAGGCCTATATTTTTATTTCTACTAGTGAGAAATGCATAGCGGATATGTACTTGGAATTTCTTGATATCAACAATTGAATTAGAATGGCCTATGGTGATATTTAATAGAGAAAATAAAATACATTTATAGATATCAAGAAATATAGTTTTTACTATAGTTTTTGCTTTAATTCTTGATATCAAGACTTCATGATGTCATTGTTGACAAGAATTAAGAATCAAGAATTAATATTTTTACTAATGCAAATTTACAGTAGTGCAAATGAATGTGCAAATAAACAGTAGTATTTATTACAATGGTATTCAGTATACAAGGTGAACTGCAAATATTTTATAATTAAAGTAGAATATCAAAGAAACAAATGACAATATGCCGAGACTCTTCTTTATGTGTACAGATGTGACATAATGACTCAATATAGCTTATACTAGCCGAGACTCTTCTTTATGTGTACAGATGTGAGTAATGACTCAATATAGCTTATACTAGCCGAGACTTTTCTTTATGCGTACAGATGTGACGTAATGACTCAATATAGCTTATACTAGCCGAGACTCTTCTTTATGTGTACAGATGTGACGTAATGACTCAATATAGCTTATACTAGCCGAGACTCTTCTTTATGTGTACAGATGTGACGTAATGACTCAATATAGCTTATACTAGCCGAGACTCTTCTTTATGTGTACAGATGTGACGTAATGACTCAATATAGCTTATACTAGCCGAGACTCTTCTTTATGTGTACAGATGTGACGTAATGACTCAATATACACTGTAAAATTTTTCTGTTAATTTACACCCAAATTTCAACATGATTAACCTGATATTTTTAATAACTGCGCCTTACTGTTAATTTTAGGGAATATATGTTAAATAACACCTCATTTTTGTTATTTAACACCTCATTGTTAAATAACACCTCATTTTTGTTATTTAACACCTCATTGTTAAATAACACCTCATTTTTGTTATTTAACCGCAAAATCGAAAATTCAAGCAAAGATGTCGGATAACGGTCTGGTATGTTTGTTGATAAATGCCGCTATGCAATTTTATGCTTATTATAAAAAAAGTTATTATATCAGTGGAGAAGTTATGCAATTTCATTTCGGTTTTTTAGGTTGCTATTAAACGACTGATTCAATCAAGGTTCAAGGTTGGGTGGGGGTGGGTGTGTCTCCCCTGTTCTTTCTGAACACGGTGTAAATATCCGTATGACACGCAGCACGCTGGCAGGCGCCACCCTAATATCTATTGGCGCCACTATTTGAAATAACATGTTCATACAGTATTTTTTTTTAATTCTGGGAAGGAGCGTATAAGGCATTTGAACCGGCCGGCAACGAACACGGAGATCCATGTCGGAGGATCGCGGTGGTTACATCGACCAAAATCACAATAATCCGGTGAGAGAGTTTCTTGAAAGTCATGCATAGTTTTAACATCTATCAGTGATGTTGATGTATACTAAACGCCACGGACTTACACCACATGAAATGAAGTAACGTAACTTAGCTAGCTAGCTGCTAATGAGCCTAGGTGATTTTGATAGTTTGTCCATTAATTTTTAGAAACAATGCGCTTATTTTAATGTCCATTTATGTATACGATCTAAATCTATAAACAATAGGCTAACATTAGGCCAATAACTTTAAGTAGCATTCCCGTGGTCAAGTTTGTGTGGCATTCTTGGCATGCAGTCTGGTTAAAGCAGATTTATCCTGAAAATCAAACGGCTAACATAAATCTATTTACTGATAGCTGTTTATGATGCTAGATAACGTTAACTTAGTTGGTCTAGTTGGTCCAAGTATTTAATGAATTCATGTCAGCTGCTCGTCTTTGATGGATTATAGCTGTTTGGGCTACCAGACATGCTGGTGTGACTATTTTATGTGCAGGTTTTAGCCTTACAATGAGGTAAATCCAGCAAAAACAGCTATTACTGATAGGGCTAGTGCAGTATCTAGCTATGTGAACAGCTATTCTCTTTTAATTGCCTTGGTATAGTGCACCCTATTTTGTGTTTTTTTTTGTTGCTGTTTTGATTATCATTGAGTTGTAGATCAATGTTTACATTTGTTTTCTTGTTTTTTATTTTTATTACAGATGCAGGATACCATCCCTGATCACTGCTGTTCAAGATGATATCCCAGGATTTATATCTCTATCTCTCTATCTATATCCCCTCTCTCTTTATCTAGCTCTTCCTGTCTCTCCATCTCTCATTCTATCTATATATCAGAGATGCTCACAAGTCTCTGAACTAGAGTCCAAGTCAAGTCTCAAGTCTCTGAACTAGAGTCCAAGTCAAGTCTCAAGTCTCTGAACTAGAGTCCAAGTCAAGTCTCAAGTCTCTGAACTAGTATCCAAGTCAAGTCTGAAGTCTCTTGTGGTTATAATAAGCGTTGCATCACGTACAGCGACCCATCCAGGCTGCTTAGAACACTTCATATATAAGGAATTCAAAGCATGTAATGTTATTATGACTCCTTTATCTATTAGCATACAGTATCAGCTTTGATTTAGGTATATAGGCTAATCAGTGTAAACAGGCTATTTCAACATGACAAAAACACCAAGAATGCTTTACTTTTAAGTTAATATCTGTATCTGTAAAAATTGAGGTTCTGAAGAAAAAGGACTCTCATGTCTGTTGCTGAATTATAATGAAAGGCCTTGGCTCCTATTGTGCTGGCTCTGTGGAGCCATAAGACCAAATATAGAAAATGTTATAGCCTACCTCACAGCACTAAAATTGCCACAGTGCAAAACATCACAGTGTAGCTAAATGCAAAACACTATTGGAACCAAATTATGTGAAATACATGGTTCCCCATACGTTCATATATTTGTGGCGGCCCGCCACAATATCAACACTGGCTGACCGCCACACATTGATTTTCTATTTTTTTTTTTTTTTTTACTAAGCCTATTTAAAATCGTATTTGATTGCAGAGCGCCGTAACGCATTCGCGCCGCACTACCTCTCGCACGTCCCTCTCTCTCTCTCTCGTTCACCCATACCTCTCGCGCTCTCTCTCCCTCATGGAACACCATGAGGTGCACGCGCGCAGATACCGCATATTTTGCAATGAGCGCTTCTTTTATTTGGCCCGTCTTGTTTGAAGTTTTTAAACCCAAAGCTTACGATGAATGGCACAGCAGCGGCCGGTGCAGTCGACATGTTTGTTGTCCCATGTGTGGCCACGCGCACGTAGTACGTGTTATGTAGGCAGGTTTTAGGTAACGGGTCGGAGGGAGGGGAATAACAGAGAGCTCATCAGACCTTTCCTAAAAATAAACATTGTTCACGAGTCCCGCAGCTCGAGTCCGAGTCGAGTCTGAAGTCTTTCGAGGACGAGTCTCAAGTCAAGTCTGAAGTCACTGTGTGTGCGACTTAAGTCGCACTCGAGTCCGAGTCTCAAACTCGAGTCCCCATCTCTGCTATATATTTATCTATCTCAGTCAGTGGTAGTCTTATGTCGTTAATATTGTGTTTAATTTGTTCTATGTCCTAGGGATATGCCACTGAAGCTGACCTTGAGAGTTCACTATACCTGCAACTCCTCGTCTGATACTTCTTGGTAAGTTGGTTTTAGATAGGACAGTTGGGTTTAGTGTTGTAGTGAATTCAATGGTATCAAACTAAACTATTCAAAATGAAAACTAAAACAGAAATTTGACAGTTAAAACATTTCTGTTTCAGGAGAAACAGGAAGCCGCTTCCAGCGCTGGATGCTCAGCCTTGATGGCCAAATCATTTGCAAAGGGATCCAGTCCACCTTTGTGATAGGGCTGGCGTCTTTTCCCCCCCCTGTTTTTACATCTTTAACCTACAGTACCAAGAGGAGGCAGCTTGCACGATTGAATTCATCCAGAGGTAAGATATTGTCTGTTAACACCTGCATATTTTTCTGGCCTAGCTGTGGCTCAGGCATGGTTTCAACAGGTCTGGTGATGGGATTTAGCAATTAACTTTGATTTAGAAAGTTTTAGTGCAACTTACAATATTCACAGAGGCAAGAAGATAGTGCATGTTGAGGATAGTTCATGTACATTTGTTGTCTTTGTTGTGCTGTTAGTCTGTGTGAATTACTAGATTTTTAACCAGTGTATAATTTTTCAGACGCTTTGTGGGTTTAAACCCAGAAAAAGGGACAAAGGCTGCAAAGGGGAAAAAAAAGAAGAACTTTGTCAATTCACACGTCGCCAGCCACGTCTTGCTCAAGCTCATGGACTTTCAGTGGGATTTCATTTGAAAATGGTGAGTAAGATGTATA